TGTTTTTTTGGTTTTTTCGAGACAGGGTTTCTCTGTGTAGCTTTGCGCCTTTTCCTGGAACTCACTTGGTAGTCCAGGCTGGCCTCGAACTCACAGAGATCCGCCTGGCTCTGCCTCCCAAGTGCTGGGATTAAAGGCGTGCGCCACCACTGCCCGGCTTGAGTTGGTTAATTTTGATTGGATGGCCTGATGGCTGGACCTTGGTGGTCAGCCTCAGGAGGAGGAAGTGGCCAAATGAAAAGACCTTGGTGGCCAGCTTTAGAATGTAATCTAACAGTTTAGCAAGGCAGAGGGAATGGGGGAGGGCAAGGCCTGCCAGAGCCATGTTTGCCATGCTTGTGCCTACTAGAGCCCTTCAGTGTCCTCTCCAAATGGAAGGTGGATTCAGATGGGGACACAGGGAGATACAGGGACAGGGGAAGTGGTGACTCACGACACAAGGTAGAAACCAAGGCTTTCTATTAGCTGGGATATATATTTGCATCTCAACTAGTCACTTCCAGGTGGCCAGGATTTGGCCCATTACCTATTAAGGTTGTTGAATTCAAATTCAGAAACACTCTTGGTCTGATCAATATTATAATGAAAATCTTTTCTTTTCAGGGAGGGATGGACACAAGTAAAGTGATAGGCTGAATCATTTATGATCACTTGTTCATGTAATTGCAAGCAGGAGCCCCAGTGGTTGAGATTCCCTCTGGTCTTGTTTAATGAGGTTGAAATTGCCTGGGTGTTTTAATCACTCGGACTAGTGATAGATGGTCCATGTAGCATTCACTGTGAGTGAGGGAAGTGAATGGCATCAGAATAACTGTGTCCTGGCCTACGCCAACACAAGAACAAAAAGAAGAGAGGCTAAAAGCCAGGGCCTGTCTAAAAATGAGAAAGGAAGTGAGCAGATTTTATAGCTAAAACAAGTAGATGGGGACCTTGGTTTAATGCCTGGAAAGGAGCCATCTACTCTGAGGTCATCAGCTTGTTCTGAAGGTCCTGTGTAGCCTATAGCTTTAGAAGATGGGCTGTTTCTGAAAGATCTCTTTAAAATCCTCTTTGAAGTATCTTGTCGGGTTAACTTTTCATTCTGACACAGTTCTGATCTGCTTTCTTTTATGAGTAAAAAAAAACATGTTAGTACACAGAGAAGTGGGTTTCATTCTGGTATTTCCATACATACTTTGTTCTTGAACCCCCTTTCTCTCTCCTTTCCTCCATCCTTTCTCTCTCAGTGTTCCTTTCCTTCCCCCAAAAGCCTTGTTTGCTTGATGTTGCATGTGTTTGTTACCCTCTTTATATCCCTGTGACAGGGCAAGAGTGCCGAGGTTCCTCCATCTCCTATTATTGCTGAGGCCATTTTAGGTTTGACTAGAATTTGGTCTTCTTGATGGAGAATCCTATGGAAAATTATCCAAGTCTACTCTAGGTACTTGAGGCCAAGATGCTCCAGCTAATTTATCTTGGCTTCTGTTAAACTGCCTGCTTGTGCAAAACCTCCCCCTCCAGCTAACTGCTTGCTTGCACAAAAGTTACCCCTGAAGCTGCTGAGCAAAATAACACAATGTGGTTTTTGCCTTTAAAAGTTGTCTGCTCTATGCACTTGGGTCCCATATACCTGAGTGTAGTCCCAGCCAATTGGAATAAAGACTTTCAATTGGCTATAAACTGTATCTGAGTGGTCTTCTCTAATAGTCTCCCCATAACACCTCCCCTCTTAAGATTTCTTTTTCATGATCCCTTTCTTTGTTCCATATCTACCCCCTCCATATATATATATATATATATATATATATATACATATATATGATCTAAATTTGAGAGAAAACATGACATATTTGTCATTCTGAATCTGGCTTTTTTCCCTGAATAATAGTTTTCAATTCTGTCCATCTTCATGAAAATGTTATGACTTAGCTTTTCTTTATGCCTGCATAAAATTCTACTAGTTATACATGCTCCATTATTTTTTCCATTCATTTCTTAATGGACATATAAACTGGTTTTCCTTTTTTTTTCCTTTTGATTTTTTGAGACAGGGCTTCTCTGTGTAGCTTTGGTGCCTGTCCTGGATCTCGCTCTGTAGACCAGGCTGGCCTTGAACTCACAGGGATCCACCTGGCTCTGCCTCCGGAGTGCTGGGATTAAAGGCGTGTGCTACCACTGCCCAGCATAAACTGGTTTTTAATTTCTTAAATATTATGACTAGTGAAGCTATAAATGTGGATGTGCAGGTGTCTTTGTGGCAGATCTATAGTACTACTTTGTAGGCTTTTTTTGTTCTTGGAGACAGGATTTCACCACATAGCCCTGGATGATCTGGAATTTACTACATAGTACCAGGATAGCTTTGAACTCACAGAGATCTGCATCTCTCTGCCTTCAAGTGCTGGGAATCAAAGAACTGTGCTCCTTGGCCCAGCCTCTATTTTGGAGTTTTTGAGAAACCTTTCTGCTGACGTCTGTACTGGCTGCTCCACATTGCTTCTCTAGTTGTGAAATGTGAGCCCAAAGACTGACTCTCTAGAATTTCACGTTTGTGTTTGATGTTAACTGTACCAAAGAAGATTCCTTCCAGCGAGGGCCAAGAAGAGTCTCTTCTGTCCCTTCCAAGAGATGAACGTTCTTTGTTGAGATTACAATGAATAGGCTGCTTGGGAAGATGCTGTGGGAATACTAGAATAGTACTAGGCTAGGTCTAGGTATTGAACATGGATCCTGTGCAATATTTTGTTATATCTATGTGTGTAGGGCAGATTCTATTACTAGAGGTGAAATTTCTAATTCATGGGCCCTCCAGCTAATAATTTATAGGAAAAACCTATGTATCCCTAGAGTAATGGAGTACACAGTCATACAGATTTGTGGGAGTGGAAACACCTTTGGCCAAGGAAGCTTAAGGATGTCTTAAAGTTTTGCTAATTTAAATGTGAGGATGTTATTGGTCCTTTCAACTCATCAAAAAGAATTGCAAGGGCAGTGTAGTTTTCAGTAAAGATTATATATTCTTCAGAATTGCAATTGAGTAAGGAGTAATGCCTTACAGTAGTAATTGCATAAGGTATGTGCCTTAGTCACTATTAAGATTTTTTTTTTGAGCTGAGTATCGAACCCAGGGCCTTGCTCTTGCTAGACAAGCGCTCTACCACTGAGCTAAATCCCCAAACCTTGTTTTGTTTTTTTAAGACAAGGTTTCTCTGTGTGTAGCCCTGGCTGTCCTGGAACTCACACTGTAGATCAGGCTGGTCTCAAACTCATAGATATCTGCCTGCCGCTGCCCTCCTGAGTGTTGGGATTAAAGGCATGCACCACCACCCAGCAGGATTTTCTTTTCTTTCCTTTTCTTCTTCTCTCCTCTCCTCTCCTCTCCTTTCTTCTTCTTCTTCTTCTTCTTCTTCTTCTTCTTCTTCTTCTTCTTCTTCTTCTTCTTCTTCTTCTTCTTCTTCTTCTCTCTCTCTCTCTCTCTCTCTCTCTCTCTCTCTCTCTCTCTCTCTCTCTCCCCCGACCCAGGTTAAAACAAAATCAAATAACTTTCAGTGACCGCAAAGGCTGTAGCTTTTGGCAAGGAAATAGTGTAGACCATACTGAAAACAGACATACATACAATAGCTAAAAGGTATTTAAAAAATAAATCTAAAAATGGTGAAAAGGTCATGGCTCAGTCCACTATTTAGATTTTTCCTAGACTATGTTGTAGGCAGGTTGCACATGATTCTCAGCTAACCTCAGTGATATTTGTAAAGCTTCACAGCTAATGTTGACTTGGGAGAGTAACCAGCTTGTCTATGAGTGGCTTCATAGAGACATGTGATATCCTTTGAAGATATCTGATAGCCCCAAGCCACTGTCCTGGGAGGCCCAGAGATTAGCTGAGTAAAAGGTCCAACCACATTTCCTCCACTCTTTCTTTTCAAAGGCAAGGAACGAAACACTGGTATTGTACAATGGCGTCTTTGGATGGCAGAAGAGCTGTGACCTTTATATGGTCAAGGATTAATGGATAAGAATTCTAGCTTGGCACAGTGATCTCTCAGAACATTGTCGTTATTTTCCACATATCCTTTCTTTTCATATGAGCCTTTATTTTTATTTGGCTACCAACCTAAAAAGTAGGAGTGCATCACAGAATGCCTTAGCTTCTCCTCCCTTTTGGTTGTGGGTTCCAGCAGAAATGAGGAACTTTTCTCCCCTCAAACATCTCATAGTCATGTAGAATTTGTAGGCCATGTTTGCTCTCTTGATGGCATGCAAGTACATATGTTCTTCCATTGGGTAGAGTACTACATTCTAAAGATAGACTATTCATGACCAAGAAATATTAGTACAAGGTTCTCAAAGGAATTCTGTACATCTAAATGAAGTCCAGAAAGCTCCAGGACTCAGGTAAGACACTCCTTAAGTTCCTCTTCCAATAGTAGGGTGATGGACTCAGTTATTGCATAACTTGAAATGAAAAAAGTATCATGAGCTAAATCCCATAGGAGTAGGGCTTTATCATTTCCTAAATGTAATGTAAATATAAATGTTGAAACACATCAAGGTATGGATGTAAGGTTCTGGAATCTGACGCGGTCTGGGGAAGACTGAAACAACACGCCTGGAGCAGATCAGAAATCTTCATTTCTGGAGAAGCCCCCACAGTGGCACTTCCGCTTTCTCAGCTTTCTCCTGGAAGTCCTGGAGTTCCTGCTCTAAGAGGGTTTACCTAGCCCAAGTTAACGCCTCTTCCCCCCGCGCCTGAAACCTGCTAAACCTGCCAACTCCCTTAGGAATGCTCAAGGCCTCTACCCTCTTCCCAGGCGATGGTGGTGGTGGTGTGTGTGTGAGGTGTGTGAGATGTGTGTGTGAGGTGTGTGAGGTGTGTGAGATGTGTGTGTGTGAGGTGTGTGTGTGGGGGGAGGCGTGTGTGGAGGCGAGGGGGAAGAGGAGTGCGGGCCGCCGGCTCGGCCCATGCGCAGAAGCGGAAGCCGGCGTCCTGGGGTGTTTTGGGTCCGCGGTCGCCCCGTACCGTCCAGGCGGCGCGCTGCATCCTGGGTCTCGGCGTGTGTTTTGCTTGCGGGCGTCGTCATGAACCCCGAGAGCTTCGCGGCGGGCGAGCGGCGAGTTTCGGCGGCGTACGTGAGGCAGGGCTGCGAGGCTCGGCGTGCGCACGAGCACCTCATCCAGCTGCTTCTAGAGCAGGTATTCCCCGGCCTCGGTGCCCGGGTTCTGCGTCTTCGGGGAGGGGAGGGGCAGCGCGCTCCTGAGTGTGCGCGGAACTGCCAAAGTCCAGGTCTTCGGCCAGCCTGGGCCACCCGGGGAACGCGTGTTGTTGGCAAACCAGCTCCAGAAGGCAGCTTTCCGCCAGAGCCCTCAGGCAGGCCTCGCTCCTGACAGTAGCCCCGAACTCGAGTGCCCCCGAAGTTTGAAAACTCTGCCTTGAGGGCATTGCCTTTTCAGTTACCCTAACTTAACTGAGATTTAAGAATCCCGGCAAACTTAAGTGTCTCTGTATTACATCTATTCGGAATCTCTAGTTTGTAGTCAAGTAGCATACACGAACGAACGTTTGGTCAGTTGGCAGTGTCTTCATAATTGCTGAGTTTATTTCTGATTTGAGGAATCAAGGGGCATAACACAAAACACATTTGAAAAATTCAAGCACATTGACGTGGGGTTTTAGGGAACGATAATTTTTCTGAATATCAGTTATCACTTTTTTTTTTTTTTTTAAGGGCAAGTGTCCAGAGGATGGCTGGGATGACAGCACACTTGAACTCTTTCTGCATGAGCTTGCAATCATGGATAGCAACAATTTCTTGGGTAATTGTGGTGTGGGAGAAAGGGAAGGGAGAGTGGCCTCTGCTTTGGTTGCTCGTCGCCATTACAGGTATGTTCCTTAAATTAGTTCTGAAAACATTTGGGCTCCCCCTGCCCCTCAGGTGGAGTGGGAGGAGCTTAAAATAATGGTGATGATATTCTTACTGAATTTTAAAGTTTCCACTCAGAAATAATTTCTTCCTTTTTCAAATTGGCATGGAAACCAAGTGGAACTGGGAGATGGGAACACTCTGAGCAGGTGCTTTTTGTGACAGAGTTGAAGTTCTAATATGTGGTGGTTTCCCCTTTGGATACTTCATGGTCAACAGCTCTGTGTCTTGATAATATTTAACCTAGTAAATCTATCTGGTTGTCAATACAAAAAACACAGTTGACTTCAAAAGGAGTAAGAGTACCTCCAGTTATGTGTATGTGACAGGTGACACCAAATGTCATGTTCTGATGTAACAGTTTCATAAAATGTTTATACTAAAATGGTCACAGAACAGAAAATCATAGACCCTTTTAAAATACACTAGTAGAAATATGGAGATAGACCAGTTACAGCAAAGCAAGGAAATCCTGTCGTAAGCCTTTGGGTAGGTGAAGTCCATTCCAGGTCTCTGTCCTTTCCAGAAGGATTTACCTAATAGTCATGGAGGTAAGTCATACACAGGAAAGATATTTTGGTTCTGGACCTGCAACTTGCCAACTTACCACAATTATAGAAGTTCAAACAGCCTTGTAGAATGTTTAATGTTGGTGTGGCTTTTTTTTTTTTTTTTTTTAAATTTCAGTTGACATACATCATAGTTATCTTTCTTTCTTTTTTTAGTTTTTAGGACAGAGTCTCACTGTGTAACTGTGCCATCCTGGAACTCACTATGTAGATCATGCTGGCCTTGGATTTATAGAGATTCACCTGTCCCTTCCTCCTGAATGGCAGGATTAAAGACATGTGCTACCACACCCAGCCATATTTCCTTTTTAAATTGCAGATTTTATTGGAGAAGAATGAACTTGAAAGCATGCTTTATCAGCATCTGACTCCCATTTTATTATTTTATTATTTTTTTTTTTGTTTTTTGAGACAGGGCTTCTCTGTGTAGCTTTGGTGCCTGTCCTAGATCTTGGTCTGTAGACCAGGCTGGCCTTGAACTCACAGAGTTCTGGCTCTGCCTCCCGAGTGCTGGGATCAAAGGCGTGTGCCACTGCCGCCCAACTGAATCCCATTTTATAAGTGCTTCTTTTTGTTGCAATCGATGGAGGAACAGGGTTATTAGATGATTACATTATTCGCGTTGGTTTTGAAAGCTTTTTTTTTTAAATCCATTCTGAAAGTGGTTTATTTATTTATTTATTTATTTTCTTCAAGACCTGCTTCTGTGTCCTAAGTGCTAGGATTAAAGGCATGAGCCACCACCGCCTGGCAAAAATGATTTAATTATTGATAGTGCTTTTAGATATGAATGCTTATTTTCATCTTCTACCCTTTCTGTGAGAAATATGAACTCTTAAAAAACCTTCTTGATTTTTAAATCAAGGTGCAGTTTTTGAGGCATACTAAAATTTTATTTTAATAAGAGCATTTGCAGAATGAACTGATGATAAAGAGTATGGATGTAGGTTTCCCGTCTAACAGTGCCCTGGTAACATGGTTCGTATATAATATATGTAGAAGGCTTATACGTACAGTGTGCTTGTGAGGAAGTACAGTACTAGTACTCTGATACTCTCCTTATACACAGTTTCTGATCTAGTGGAAGTAAGAGATTGAGTTTACAGAAGGATCATTTCTTCATTTAAAAGAGCATTCAGAGGCATCCGTAAGTGGATAGGGCTTTTGAAGACAAGTGGATTTGTATACTCGTTTTAAAGAAACATAATTTTAAAAAAATTGGGGCAGTTTTTGCCAGGTGTGGTAGAATTGCCTGGAATCCCAGCACTTAGCAGAAATGGGGAGGGAGCAGAAATAGTGAGATCCCAGCTCAAAAGACCACTGTTACCACCAGCAGCAGGTCAGGACATTCAGTTCCTTCAGGTTAGGATCTGTCCCACTGCTGTGTTTGCGGAAGGAAAGAGGGAATAGAATGTTCTCTGTACCATGGTTTTAAACAGAGCACTCTAAAGGTTAATGGTCACTATTTCATTTCTCCAGTTCTGTGTTAACTGAGCTCAGTAGCTGAGTGTTTGAGTTTCTGGTGCAGTTGTCAAATGTCAGCTAAGAGTATAGTTTGTTGAATGTTAGAGTCAGCAGTCTATAAAGATGACTTGGATTACATGACTGAGTGTTCAGCCTGCCTCTTCCTGTGATGTGAGCTCCTCCCAACATGTCAGCTGGATTTTGAGAGGCAATATATACTAGCAAACTCTCCAAGAAGTCTGATGAAGACTTCAGTGCTTCTTATGACCTTCTAGAACTTAGAGGCTCCAGACAATCGCTTTTTATATTTTTCCCAGTCAAGCAAGATAGGACACCCCCACATAGGGATTTAGATATGTGAGAGAATTAGACTATCTCTTGGTGTGGACCAACAGGAGAAGAGAAATTGATATGGTTGTCTCTGGAAATTAGCTACTATAACACAGTGAAACTTTCACTTAAGGTATTTCCACGTTAGTCATTTATGAAGTGCACGTAGAACAGTGGAAGTCTGACTTTGCTAGTGTTTGGTTATTTATTTATAAGCCTGTGTATTGATTACTGAACACTGAATGTATTTGTACAGTTTTTGGTCCATTTTTTTGCTTAGGTTCATCCATGGAATTGGACGATCCGGTGATATTTCTGCAGTGCAGCCAAAAGCTGCAGGCTCTAGCCTCTTGAACAAAATTACCAATTCTTTGGTGCTTAATGTCATAAAGCTGGCCGGTATGTATCCTGTCAATCATAATGTGACTTGTGAATAGACAGCACACTAGTTTCTTGCATTTATAGCTCTTCAAAAACAATATGAGTAGTTTTTAAAAGGGCACATATGTAACCCTGTTTCAGAACAAGACAGAAAATAGCCCTAGAAAAGACTTTTAATAATGAGTTTCATGAGAGCAAATGAGAAAGAAAAACACTAGCGTTACAGTCTATGTTATTTTATAAAAGAAACTTCATCATTTCTTCCAGAAGGATGTTGACTTTTAGTTTAGTTTTGTTTTTTTTTTTAAATGGGATAATAAATTGCTTTATTTCTTATTTGTAGGTGTTCATTCAGTGGCCAGTTGCTTTGTAGTTCCGATGGCAACCGGCATGAGTCTAACCTTGTGTTTCTTAACATTACGACACAAAAGACCAAAGGCCAAGTATATCATATGGCCACGGATAGACCAGAAGTCCTGCTTTAAGTCCATGGTCACTGCAGGTAAAAGACATGCAGCATATGTAATGTTTTAAACATCCAATGGGAAAACTCAGATTTTTATATAGAGATAGGTAAATGAAAAATTAAATGTGCTCCATATTCATGCTTTAAAGAAATTGTAGTTAAGTATTCATAAAATTTAGCATTTATTTTGTTTTAGCAACTTGTAAGCTTATATATACTTACACTTACCATTAAAGTTTGCATAATTATTCGTGGGGTGATCTTTAATTATATGCTAGTTAAGTGCAGTATTTCAATTAAAAATCTGAAGGACTCTTGGGCCATGAGATGGATCAGTGATCTCCAGGTGACTGAAATTAATAGTTTTCTTTAGTGGTAAAACATAAAGTTTATGGGTGTGATTTATTTCAGTACTTGAATTTTATTATTAGTTATAGCTATCTCTGAAATAAAGTAAACTCAACTGAAACTGATATGTTCCTAGAGAATTGAGTAGGCTTCATTTTATTTGACAGAACTTGAACTGGACTAGTAGTCTTTTGGTTACCAACACCTGAGCAGTTAACCTCTGTAGACCTCTGGTTAACATGCGCTTTCCTTACTTTACAGAATCCCTTCCCTATCATTTTAAAGTGCTAAAGATCCAGGCTGGTTGTCTAGTTGTCCTTCACACTCTTTGACTTGTTTCTCATTAATGCCAGTTCTTGTCTTAGTCAGGGTTTCTATTGCTGTGAAGAGACACCATGACCACAGCAACTCTCCTAAAGGAAAGACATTTAATTGGGGGTGTGTTGTTGGAGGTTTTTGCTCTTTTGGGGATGGGGGCTGCCACCCAGCTCCCAAGTAAATTACACATGGAGGCTTATTCTTACTTATGAATACCCGGCCGTAGCTTGGCTTGTTTCTTGCCTGCTTTCCTTAACTTAAATTATCCCATCTACCTTTAGCCTCTGGGCTTTCCTGTTCTCTTACTTCCGTAAATCTTACTCTTATTCCGTGGCTTGCTGGTTGTGTAGCTGGGTGGCTGGCCCCTGATGTCCTCTTCCTTCTTGGGCTGCTAGATCTCTCCTCCCAGATTTTTCCCTCTATGTATTCTCTCTACCTGCCAGCCCCGCTTATCCTTTCTCATGCCTTGCTATTGGCCAGTTCTTTATTAGACCATCATGTGTTTTACATAGGCAAAGTAACACAGCTTCACAGAGTTAAGCAAATGCAACATGAACAAAAGTAACACACCTTAAAACATTCTACTACAGGGGTGCTTACATTTTCAGAGGTTTAGTCCATTATCATCATGGTGCAACATGGTGGTGTGCAGGCAGACATGGTGTTGGAAAGTAGCTGAGAGTACTATATCTTGATGCTCAAGCAACTGGAAGTGGTCTGAGACACTGGACAATGCTTGAGTATAAATGAGACCTCAAAGCCCACCCCCACAGTGACATACTTCCTCCAAGAAGGCCATACCTACTCCAATAAAGCCACACCTCCTAATAGTGCCACTACCTATGAATTTATGGGGGCCAGTTACATTCAAACTACGATACTGAGCCACTGTTTATTACTAGAGGAAAAGCTTGCTAGTTGAATAAATATTTAGAGTTCTAGTGTGCAATTGCATTGCTTCTTAGAGTTCTAGATTCATCTTGCATTTAATTGACACTAATGCTTAGATTTCTGGTTGACTTGGTTAGGTTTCAAACCAGTGGTGATAGAAAATGTTTTGGAAGGCGACGAGCTGCGCACTGACCTGAATGCAGTGGAGGCTAAAGTCCAGGAACTTGGGCCTGATCGTATTCTGTGCATTCATTCTACTACATCCTGCTTTGCTCCAAGGGTGCCTGATAGGTAACTGACTTGTGAATATTGGTCTGTACATGCTTGCTCACCAGTCTTTTGAATAAATTTTGTCCAATAATTCTCAAGCACGTTGAGATAACATTTGGTAGTAAATAGTGAGTATACTGGCCTAAGAGAATAGGTGGATCCTTGGGAAAATTATTGTTGAGAAGTTTGATGCTGAAGGAAAAACAGCTGATGTGGAGGTGGAGATCCGCGTATCCAAATCTTAGTCCGTCTTATTTGTCTGCCTTCCTGCTCTTGCCAGTGTAAGTCTCTCTCAGAGTCATTTTCCATTGCTTAAGCTTTTCCAAGTGAACTGCTGACTTAGTAGTTTTCCCCATCGCTGTTTCTTTGGCTTTGCGATTCATTTGCTAAGTAGGAACTATCGTCCTAACAGATTACAAATAACATAGTTTAGGATTACTTACATTTCTTTGATTGGGAGATTAAGCTAGGTGTGTACAGTGGTTGTACACATTTTGAAGATAATATAAAATAGAAAATTAAAGCCATAAGGGTGGCAGATGTTCACTGTTATAAAAGATAGCCACAGATTTTTTATTTTGAAAGTGTCATAGGGCTGAAGTTTATTAACAGAAATTTCTGTTTTTGCCAGAAGCTCTGGTTTGGTCTCATTTCAACATCTTTAACAGAAGTGCTAATAAGTAGTAAGAATCGTGTTGACTTTGGACTCTGGTTGCTAAGCTTTTGTGTTTGTAGACTCATTGTTTGGCAGTGATGATCACATGTTAGCTTTTATTATCTTACAGGCAAATTTTAAAAGATCATATTGACGCCATGCTCTTGCAAATTTGCCTTGGGTCACTTATGAACCTATGAGTTCTGTTTTAAAATTACATTTCATATGCTGTAGTAGTTTATTAATGACCAGCCATTTTAAATTTCTATTGAAATATTAAAGAAATGGTATTCTTTGATATCTAGAAAATTTTAATGGAATAGAAATAAACCTCAGTTCCCCAAACAGCAAGCATGTGGGTGTTTGTGTTAGTAGAATTATTTTTCTCTGGTGAGTTTTGCTTCATTTTGAGCCCGTTTTCAGTGTGTGTAGTGTTGCATTGTTTTACACATAGACCTGTTAGAAGAAGAGTCAGGAGGGTTTAATAGCAAGTTGTCATTTGTTACTTTTTAGTTGTATGATGTAATGAATGCTTTTGATGAGTGAGGTTATGAAAATGGCGGTGTAAAGTTAGTAGTATATTTTATTTTCTGATTTTATAGTCTTAATTTTAGTGGTATACCTTTTTTTTTTTTTTTTTGGTTTTTCGAGACAGGGTTTCTTTGCGCCTTTCCTGGATCTTGTGCTGTAGACCAGGCTGGCCTCGAACTCACAGAGATCTGCCTGGCTCTGCCTCCCGAGTGCTGGGATTAAAGGTGTGCGCCACCACCGCCCGGCTTACTTTTGTTTTTATTGGTCAGTTATTAGGGAATATTGAATAGGAAATCCATGTAAAAGAAAATTAAAAGAATGTTACTTCTATTGACTATTAAAATTAGCTTTTGATTTAGAATATAGTGGGATTCACATGGAAAATCTGTTTTCTGATTTTCTTTGCCTTTCATTTAATACCTTTTTTATATCCTGTTAATACATCTGATTAATTTAGATGATTTAAAAGTTACAAGTTTGTTTGTTTTTTAAATAACTTTAATATTGTGGTACCTTATTTTCAAGGAATTTATCAGAGTATTCTTTCACTAGCGCACACACATGAAAAAAGTGCCTTTTATCTTCTGAAGAATATATGTGTGTGTATTCCAAGTTTATTTTGTTAGTAACAGAAGAAATTTTGGTATTGATTTTGAGGCAGGGGTGTGTGTGTACATGCATGCTTGTGTGTGTGTGCCCCAATGGTTGATTTTGGGTGTCTTCCTCTATCATTCTCCACTTTATTTTTTGAGACAGGGTCTCTCATTGAACCTGGAGCTCCCTGTTTCAGTTAGAATGGCTAGCCTCAAGACCCAGAGATTGTCCTGTCTCTGCCTGCCTGGTGCTGGGATTATAGGCACATACTGCCATGCCTGACTTTTTTTTTTTCCCCGAGACAGGGTTTCTCTGTGTAGCTTTGCGCCTTTCCTGGATCTCGCTCTGTAGACCAGGCTGGCCTCGAAATGCCTGACGTTTTTAATGTGGGTTCTGAGGAATTGAATTCCTATGCTTGCAAGGCAAGCACTTTACTGACTGATCGATCCATCTCTCCAGCCCTAAAAATTAGGTTTTATTCATGTCTTAGTCAGTGTTCTATTGCTGTGAAGAGACACTATGACTACGGCAGCTCTTATAAAAGAAAACATTTATCTCTTAATAATAATAAAAAAAGAAAACATTTAATTGGGGCTTGCTTATAGTTTCAGAGGTTTAGTCCATTATCATCATGGCAGGGAGCATGATGGCACACAGCTAGATCTGGTGCTGGAGCAGTAGCTGAGAGTTCTAGATCCAGATCCGCAGGCAGCATGAAGAGACACTGGCCTGGCTTGCACTTGTGAAACCTCAGAGCCCACCCCCAGTGACACATCTCCAACAAGGCTATACTTCCTATTCCTTCTCAAGTAATGCAACTCTCTGATGACTAAGCATTCAAATTTATGAGTGTATGGGGGCCATTATTATCCAAACCACAATTCATAATACTTAAAGGAAGCAAATTGAATGTTTCTACAAATAGACATAATCTTATTCCCATTTATAGTTTTAAAACATACTTGTTCACATCTAGAAAAAAAAGATGTGCATACTGCTCATTTCTTTACTTATTTGAGAACAGGGTCTTGCTGTGCATCTCTGACTGGCCTGGAATTTACTATGTAGAATTGGGCTGGCCTTGAACTCAGAGATCTATTTGCTTCTGCCTCACTGTGCCATGTATTTTAAATACCTCCTTTTGGAAAGAAGCATAAAAATGCTTTGCTTCCAAGTTCTATTTGTGAAACAAAAATTTTTTAAAAATCAGTGTAATTGCATCACAGAATTTAGTTATAGTATTGCAGTGTGCTGACATTTTTAAGGTGACTTTAGTCACAAGTAGTATTGGGTTTTGAGAAGGAACCTCTGCTGTGTTGTGGTTCATTACCATACTTACCATAAATGAGACTTTCACACTGCCTTTATATGAGAGGTGTCAAATGAAAGAGTGAAGAAGGGGAGATTTTTAAGCCAGCAACTTTTTAGAGGATGTATCCAAGTTATTAGGCAATGTCAGTGAGTTTTGGTACTGGAATGTTGTAAACCTGCCCCCCCCTTTATTTTGTAAATTAAGGTCCACTTGAAGTGCATCTTTTAAAAATTTGTGAGATTCTTAAGGTTTCCAGCTATGCTTAGTATTTTGTCTGTGCTAGCTTCAGTGTGGTGAGCAGTCAGAGCAGTAGGAAGGGGATGGCAGCTCTTTGTGAGGTGTCATCTAATCTCTGTGCTTTGTCTGTAAGAAGTCTGGAAATTATTTAAAAGTTGCTGTCAGAGATTTTTTTTTTTCTTTGAGACAGGGTCTCACTATGTAGCCTGGCTGGCCTGGAACTCTCTATGTAGACTAGGCTGGCCTCAAACTCACAGAGATCCTGCCTCTGCCTGCCAAGTCATAACCTCTTGTAAATATGTTTTTTTTTCTCATTTATTGGTAACATTAAAAGGTTTTCTAAGTTTTTCTAAAGTGCTATGTATTTCCAGGCTGATGAATTACATGCGAAGATACTGCAGAGGGAATAGTTCAGTTTGTCATCCCCTCTTCCTTTCCCTGATATACCTTAAGACTATTAATAACAGTTTTCCATAATTATTTATAAAGCACAGTATGAGTATGTCTTTCTGTAAATGTTTATGTTTGTAGATTAGAAGAACTGGCTGTGATTTGTGCTAATTATGACATTCCGCATGTAGTCAACAACGCTTATGGATTACAGTCTTCCAAGTGCATGCATCTCATTCAGCAGGTGAATTATTATATTAATATTATATACTATAGGATTATGACTTTTTTTCCTTCAACCTAATACAGTGAAAATTATTTAGCTCTCTCTACTTTGGAGAGCATTAGAAACTTGTATCCAGTATTCTCTTAGTAAAAGTCATTATTCCTAGGTAGTATGATGGTAATTGGATAGTAGCTTTTAAATATTTATTTGTTTATGCTTATATTTTATGTGTATACATGTGTCTGTGAGTGTATGCATACCTATGTATCTCTGTGTGTGTGTGTGTGTGTGTGTATGCTTGTTTGTGCAGTTGGGGGCCAGAAGAGGGTGTTGTGTGTCCTTCTGTTGTTCTCCTATTCCACTGAGGCAGAGTAGTCTCTTCTGAACTTGTGGGTTGAATTTTCTCAGGTAGGCTGGAAGCCAGCAAGCGCCAGTGGTCCTCCAATCTTCACCCTTTCTGGAGCTAGGGTTTTAGGTGTGTGTGAAACATCTCACTTGTTATGTAGGGTCTGGATCCAAACTCTGATCCTCATGGTTATACACCAAGTGTTCTTAATGGATGAGCCATTTCTCCTGCCTCTGGGAAATAGCTTTGATGGTCCCAAATCAACACAGAAATATATCAGTAGCATCCTTAACTTCCTGAGAATTTTTTTTAAACCCAGGATAGTCATTTTTCTAATGTATTGAATTACAGTATTTCAAAAACTATATTGGTGATCATATTTTATATAGAAGAAAAAGAAAACAGAAAGAGTAAGAATGAACCATGTAAATACATAAACATATATTTTCAAATCTTAAAAAAAATACAAAATATTTAAATATTTTCCAGGATCTAAAGAATCTTTTAGTAGCTGCTGCTCTATAATCTTTACTTATTCACTCTTACCTTTTCTTTGGTGGTCTTCTCATCATTCCTTAACTTTTCAAGGCTGCCTCACAGGTGTAGATGGATCATGTATGATGTGCATGGAGCAGAAGAAAGGTGTATACAGTGTTTTATGCTAGAACTTGGGAAAACACATGGACGACTCACTTTTATTGCCCCTCCTTTCCTCCTGTTCTTCTCTTTCATTTCTAATACTTAAAAAGTACTACATTTATTTGTGTGTGTGTTCATGTGTGTGACATGTGTGCCATAGCATGCATATGGAGGTCAGAGGACAGCTTGGAGGAGTCAGTTCTTTCCTTCAGCCACGTGGGTTGTGGAGCTTGAACTCGGGATATCAGGGTTGTGGTGAGGGCCTTTAACCACAGAGTCATCTCACTGTCCCTCCCCCTTTTTTGTATTTTTAATGCTTTCAAAATTCAAATGCATCAGCATCTAAAAGTTTAAAAAAGGAAGGAGCAGGTGATCATAGCAATCTTATAAGTACCTCTAATCATTTATAATGAACATTTTTCTGTTTCTGTGAATGTTCTGTTTTCACATAATTGTAGTCACTGTGTACATTTAACAGAATACTTAAGCCTTGTTACATGTTTATACTTTCTATATGCCTGTACTGTTTTCACATACATCATTTTGAAGGTTTATTTTGATTTATTTATTTAGTGTGTGTGAGAGAATGAGAGAGAGGTGGCCTGAGGAGGCAGAAGAGGCATTACACCTTGGAGCTGGAGTTAAAGATGTTTTGTGAGCTGCCATAGGTGGGTGCTGGGATCAGAATTCTGGTCTTCACGATAGAGCACCAATTCCTCTAATTGCTCAGCTATCTCTGCAGCTCCATATGAGTCATTTCTGCAGACATTATTCCCTAATTGAGAAGTACTCGGGGTTCTGGGCTCACAACATACTTTTTTTTTTTTTTTTTTGGTTTTTCGAGACAGGGTTTCTCTGTGTAGCTTTGCGCCTTTCCTGGGACTCACTTGGTAGCCCAGGCTGGCCTCGAACTCACAGAGATCCGCCTGACTCTGCCTCCCGAGTGCTGGGATTAAAGGCGTGCGCCACCACCGCCCGGCTTCACAACATACTTTTGAATACTTGAAAAATGGGGTGGTGTGCTTCCACAGAGCAAGACTAAGGGAAGCAGTTGTGGAGCTGATGTGAAAGTTGTCCTTGGGGCCGCTCTTCCTGGTACACCACTTTGTCATCCGTGTGTGTGAGATGTTTCTCAAATGCAGATATTGTCTTGTAGGTATTCTATTACCTTCTAAAATCGACTTGTCTTTAAGGAGTAAATAAATATTTCTGCAGACTGACCTATATAAGGAGAGGTCATTACACTGTTGGTTTAAACAACATAAACACATAGGTCTTATTGAGTTCTGACTGCTATTTCATGACAATCTAAATAGAGTTAACTTTCACTCATAGCTGTGATAGATAATGCAGTTTACCAAGGACTCATCATGTGTGTTAGGCATCCGGTCAGGCTGTTAATGTTTTTAAACTAGTCCTAATATGTTAAGGTGTACTTTTCATTGTTCCTGTTTGTATATGAGGAGACATGCTCAGTGGTTTATGTGATTGGCCTGAGGTCTCATCGCTGCAGAATAGCTTGTATAGCACAGTCTGACACCAGGGCCCCAGATTTCCCTTAACCAGAGCACACTAAAACCACAAGTTCCAAGAAAGCAGGATCACGGTAGCCATGTAATTAGTGAAGAAAACAGTTGGAGATGAAATGTCATAGCATCTTCAAAAGATGCCCTGGAATGACTTGGTTCTGAGCAGATAAGATACTCTGTTATGTTTGTGAAGTCTCAAGAAGTACACTTGTGCTTCTATTTACTGAAATGCCTAATTTGAGATGTTAGGACAGGTTAATAGAGAGGCACATAGTAGAGCTATGAAAATGTGTGGGATTGACTGTTTAGAATGGAGTGTGAAGTTCCAAAGTGTGGGAAGCAGCGACTTCACTTGTTAAGAATTGGAGCAAAGTGGGTGTTACTGCTTCTTAGCCACATGCCTGATTGTTATTTCATTCAGTAGATTTTCTGAGTTCCCAGTAGTGTGTGAGCTACCAAAATATGTGCTGGGGCCACAGTATTGCAGCCTAGTGCCCGTCAGCTAGATACTTCATTTTCTTCCTTAGTGGCAGCTCTCTGTTAGTGTGGGGAGTGCGGCCCTTGAACATTCCTGAGGTCTAGTCTTTTTTTGCACTGGAGTGTGCAGTCTTCGTGGTGAGAGGGTGGGTGTAGCAGTCTGGAGCACTGATTCTTCGTGCTCTCGTCCTCCCACTCCCAGGTCAGGTTCCTGTTCCTCTCCGAAAGCCGAGACAGGGTTTGTGGCCCCTTCTACCTGGTACCACTTGCTGTGCCTTGTCATCATCGTTTGTTCTGCTGCTGTTTATGCTGCTCCCTCTTCCTGGGGTGAGCTGGCTTTCCTTCCATTCCTGGTTTGCTAGGAAACAAGAATAAGGCTGAAACAGTCAGCTGATGGTCTCTGAGCAGTCCGTTCCCCTCCCTGGCTTCTGCTGCCTCTACCTGTTGCCTACATCTGGTCTGTCAGATTAGGCCGGCTGTCTGCGATTTCCATTCTCCCTGAGATACAGAAGTGGGGAGGAAGTGTGAAAATGAAGGTCAAGTGTGCTTATAATATTAATAGGACTGTAGATTGTGAATGCAGATTGAAAATCTGCAGCTGCAGATAAAGAAACGGTGGGAGTGGAAATGTAGATGGTATCTCCATTTTTAAGAGGAGGAAATTGCAGCACATTAGACAGAAGGTCATAGCTGTGTGGGACGGGAAACAGACCTTGGTTCCACATTTCTGGGAGGTCTGTGTTCAGCTCTGTGCTGGGATATTAGACTTCCATTTGAAGTTCATTTGCAGTGGAATGAGAGCACCTAAGATCACAATGTTAAGGAGTTATGGAAAAGCATTGATTGGGAACTGCCAGGAATGTACAGATGAAATTGCTATTGGTTGATGATAAACATAAAATTTGGCTTTTCTCTTTTGTGGTCAGAGCCATCATGGAAGCAGAGCTTGTTTAAAGGCTGGGCTTGGAGCTTTATGCCTGGCATGCACAGTGCCCTGGGGCAGTCTCCAGCACTGTAAACCAAACAGACAAACCTAAAAGAGAAAAAAGTCAGTAGATTGCCCTAAGTGTGGGAGAGAGGCACTTACTTTTCTAACTGCTTGGTTGGCACTGTGGGCAGATGTAGTTTATAGATTATGGTGCTAGTATTTAAAACTCTAATCCCCGTAGACCTTATTGTCAAATAAAAGTCACAGGTGTGGCCATGGGAGAAGTGCTTTGTCTCTTACTCGGTTTTGGACAAAAAGCTGTTGCAGAGGAGTTCCCTCTTACAGTGATAATGAAACCCCACCTGCTTCATGGAGGTTATGAGTTCAGTGGTCGGTCTGTGCAAGCCACCGTGCCCTGCAGGGTGCCTGCGGGTGGTGTGCTTATAGATAGTGAGCACCGCCCAAAGCTGTGCTGCAAAGCTGTGCTGCAGTTCTGTTAACCTGCACTTGGACTGCTACAAAGACAATTACAGCCCTTCACCTGCTTTTGAAGGAAGGTCTATGCACTGTTTTAGGGGTACTCATTTTTACTTTTTAATTAAGGTAAAATTAGTGTTTGTAAATGTGGGAATGAAATTAAATTGTATGTATCATTTTGTACAACATCATTTTTTGTTGTGACCTTTACTTGTTAATAGTAGTTGTTGTCTGTCCTAGCGTGACGAACATGTGACTTACATGTTATTTGATTCTAGGGGGATCGGGTTGGTAGAATCGACGTTTTCGTTCAGAGCTTGGACAAAAATTTCATGGTTCCAGTAGGTGGTGCTATAATTGCTGGCTTTAATGATTCCTTCATTCAGGAAATCAGCAAGATGTATCCAGGTAAACAGATAATTTGTTTTTCGGAAAATAGCTAATGGACAAAAGTGCATGTGCATATAGCCTGCTGTGATGAATTAATTTCCGGAGCCTCCCCCGTCAGTCCTCCTTCATGTGCCCTGTCCATCTGTTTCCAGGAAGAGCGTCAGCGTCGCCGTCCTTAGACGTCCTTATCACCTTGTTGTCACTTGGCTGCAATGGCTACAAGAAGCTGTTAAAGGAAAGAAAGGTGAGTCTCCTCCCTGTTGAGTGTGGCTGTTCTAGCCTGTATATCATCTTTTTCATCTCTGATTTGTGCTATAGAAGCTGATCATCCTGTCTGTCCTCTAGACATGCTGAGGAATAGTTCAGATGCCTTACTTTACTATTAGTAGTTCTTATTTAGAAACATCTGTATTGGGAATTATTTGTTCATTTATCACCTAAAGGTAGAGTGGGACTCGCCTCTTATGTTACTAATTTTTATTAAATGGTTTTCTTTTGTGGTCATGTGCATGTGCTATGGAGCATGTGTGGAGGTCGGGGACAATCTGGGAGCAGGGATTGAACTCAGGTCCTCAGGAGTGAGAGCAGGTGCCTTGCCTTTTACCTGTTTTGCACTCTTACCAGCTCTGCTTTTTTTTTTTTTAAGGACAAGGTCTTGCTGTGTGGCCCTGACTGGCCTGGAATTTGCTTATGTATACAAGGCAGGCCTCAAACAGTGGGCAGTTCTCCTGCCTCTGCTTCCTGAGTGTTAGGACTATAGGTATCCATACCACTTCTGGCACAGAAGCTCTTGAAAGACTAATGGAAAAGTTTTCTTTTGAGTGGTTTGGAAACCTGAAGGCTTTTTGTGGTGTGAAGGGCAGCTAGTCCCAGGTGGGAAAACCAGTAGGAGTCAGCCACCTTCTTATACTAAAATAATAAACCCCTCTATCGTTGCTGAAATGCTGGACTCATGACTTATGTTGGCTTTGAAAATAATAAGTGATAAGCTTCGTGGTGTGGGTCTGTTATCGTTGCAGCTACTCAGGAGACTGAGGCAGGAGGATCACTGGAGCCCAGGAATTTGTGGCCACATAGTGAGACCCAGTCTTTTAAAACAGACTAACATAGAAAAGCTTCATTCAGGACAGTTCCATAATTGTTGATGTGTCAGGTCAGATTAAAGAGTTTATCCATCTCCTATATAGGAATGCTAGAGGCTCCTGGCATGGAATTTGTGTCTTTATAGCTTTATGGCACCAACTGGCAATTGTAATCCTTTGGGTGTACTTCACATATTTTAAAGCATGGACGTAACTATTATCACAGATACTCTAGCAGTCTTACTCCTCAAATAGATTTGATGTTTAACATTTTGTGGCATTTTACTCCAATCTTTCTTTCCCTATTAATTTAATCCATGGAAAAGTAGTTTACTTTTTAAATTGTGAGAATGTTTCTTAAGATTTACATGTACATTCATTAGAGAAATGCAGATTAAAACCACAGTGATCAGCCATTACACACTTACTAGAAATGGCTAGTGCAAAAACAAAAACACAACTAAAACAACAAAAGCCTGACAGCACTGAGTCCTGTCAAAGACCTGAAGCAGGGCGAACCCTTAGACACCGCTGCGAGGAGTGTAAAATGCAGCACAGCTTTGGTGGGTGTTGGTGGGGGTGGGGGTGGGTTTGAGACAGGGTTTCTCTGTGTAGTTTTGGTGTCTGTCCTGGATCTCACTCTGTAGACCAGGCTGGCCTCGAACTCCCAGAGATCCGCCTGGCTCTGCCTCCTGAGTGCTGGGATTAAAGGCGTGAGCCACCACCGCCCGACGCAACACAGCTTTGGAACATACTGTGGCAACTTCCTAAAAGTTAGACACGACTCACACAGAGCAGCTCTTCTGCTTCTCGCTGTTTGCTCAAGAGTGAAAGCTTGAGTTAGTATAAAAATCTGTAGCTGAGTGCTTATCATGATTTAGTTCATAAAAAATTGTCCAAACCAGAAGCAAGTGTCCATCATTTGATGGACAGAGGAACACACTGGTGCATCTATCCTTAGCAGTAGACAGATCCAACTACAGATACAACAAACGGTGACCTAAGTGCAAATAATAAATGACATCATCCTGACTCTGAAGACTCACGAGGTCTTCATCTGTATGCCACCTTGGAAGAGGTAGGTGAGACAGGGACAGAAAACAGATTAGTTCTGGAGGCTAGGGTGGGGAGGTACCTTTCTGGGGTGGTGAGATGTCTTACAGTTATGTCTTTAGTTGAAGTGGTTTTGTGGCTGTTCAAAATTCAGAGATGTGAGCATTTGGAAAGTGGACACTTGAAGTTTTACCATGTATAAATTGTACTTTGCTAAACCAGACAACAAACTTTTTTTTTTAAGATTTATTTATTCATGTATTTTATATATACACCAGAATAAAGAATCTGATCCCATTACAGATGGTTGTGAGCCACCATGTGGTTGCTGGGAATTGAACTCAGGACCTCTGGAAGAGCAATTAATGCTCTTTCTTTACCGCTGAGCCATCTCTCCAGCCCGACAACAAACTTTTATATGGTAGGGATAAAGCTATAGTTTTATACTTCATGAAAGTAGTCACTGTTATAGATTGTCACAGCTACGGAAAGACAAGTCTTTAGAGAACCTTATTCATATAATCAGGACCCTAAGGTGATGGGTTCCTGCTTGTGGGGTTGGAGGACAACTTTCAGGAGTTGGTTCTCACCTTGCACTGTGAGCTTCAGGGATTGAACTAGGTTGTCAGGCTTGTGTAGCCTGCTAGGCCATGTCGCTGGTCCTCTGCTAGGTTCATTATGTCCGTTCTTTGATGTAGTATTCATCAAGTTCATGTGTAGGGATTGTCTCCATTTCTCGTATGAAATTGTGATCTGGGAAGATGAGCTTGCTCAAGGACTGGCTGGCCACTTTGAAGTCCCAGCACTGTGCCGTTGAAGGCTGAGTGAGTGCTGCTCAGACCCCGTGTGTCTGCCTTCCCACTGCCTTCCCACGTTTGCAGTCCCTCCTGCAGAACGGAGGGAGTCATCGGTCCTTTGCTAGGCGTTTGAGCCCTAAAGATGATGACTGATCCTAAGACCCTCCCATTCTATCTAGTGGAGGCATTTAAAACCCCAGAGGCTCTCAAATGCACTAATTGATTTTATTTAAAATTCTTTGTATAGAATTACTTAGAACAAAGCCTGTCTAATGGAGTAATTTCCAGAATACTAAAATGCTGGTCTGAGAACTCTGACATTGTTCTTTAGTGTCTTCACCCAGTAGGTCTTCTTGCTGAAAATGTGGATGTCCTCCATAACTACAATTGCGTATATGTAGCATAAATTTTTTTATTGGATTTGGTGCAGAAATGTAGCCTTTTTTGTCTAAATGGACTTCTCTCTGCTGTGAACATTTCATCATGGTAGTTTATTGGTTCAGCTGTGGAGAAGCTGAGGCAAAGCTATTTTGTGCCAGCCAGAGCTATTTATAAACCATCACTGAGAGCGTCTTTTTATGTTATTGCTGTTATGTGAACTAAAAAAAGGAGTGTTAAAGGAAAACTTGGGCTTGCTTTTTCTTCTGTGCCCTTATTCCCCACAATGGTATTTTTAGAGGTTATTTCTTCCAGCTCTCTCTTCAGAAAAGGCTTACCTTTGTCATATAGAGGAGACGAGAACTCAGCTTGAAGCCATTCCTTTCCTCAGGCTTCCGTTGTGGAGGGGAAAGGATCAGAGAGTGGAACTTGGTGTGTGAAGTGAGCCTCTGCCCTTAGCCCCTTCCTGATCGTGCATCTGCTGCATAGAGGGAGGAATGACCGGCAGTTTCACGAAGAGGACTTGAAGAAGAGAGGTCAAAATACCCGCGACTCTTTCTTTGAGGGTTTTTTTTTTTTTTTTTTAATGCAAAAAGAAAGATCAGCCTTAGAAGTTTGTCCTCACTTCTGCCTTGCTTCCAGAGAGGCGATTATTCTGCCCAGCTCTCCTTATAGAAGAATGCTTTGCTGACCAGGGTGGCAGACAGTCATTTAGTGTTGCAAGTATCTGCTGAGTTGGACAAGTACAGAAGAGGAATGTAGTAGAATGGCTGTCCTGGGGCTAGAACCGTGTTCGAGAAGAACACTAGATTTGTAACTTTGGTGGCTTATGACAGAGGTAAATTTGGAAGAAGTAGTACATTTGTGCCCTAAATGGAATTATTGAATCTCTTGCCAATGTCCAATTTGGGGCCTGGATGTGAGGCTTCAGCACTGGAAAGCAGTGTTTTTGCCACTGAGGCAAGCCTTGTTGAATGTGAATGGTCCTTGGTGGCAGCCGCAGTGGGGACCACAGTATTCAGTACCATTTCCTCTTGTGGACGTCTGTGTGTGTGGGTATATATCCATGCTGTTGTCCATCTCCCCATGCTTTAGTATTCAGTACCATTTCCTCCTGTGGACGTCTGTGTGTGTGGGTATATATCCATGCTGTTGTCCATCTCCCCATGCTTTAGTATTCAGTACCATTTCCTCCTGTGGACGTCTGTGTGTGTGGGTATATATCCATGCTGTTGTCCATCTCCTCATGCTTTAGTATTCAGTACCATTTCCTCCTGTGGACGTCTGTGTGTGTGGGTATATATCCATGCTGTTGTCCATCTCCCCATGCTTTAGTATTCGGTACCATTTCCTCCTGTGGACGTCTGTGTGTGTGGGTATATATCCATGCTGTTGTCCATCTCCCCATGCTTCGGTTCCTTTACTCTCTGAGACAGACATGGAACACCATTTTCTCCTACCCCATCACATGATGCAGCTTGTTTCACAGACATAGCCTAAGACATTTTCTTGGCAGTTTGAACTGTGCACATCTGGATTCTAGTGAGGGTTAGTCTGAATGTTGGGTTTCATGACTGCAGATCATTTTGCAATCCAAAGACCATACAAAAGATAATTCTTAATATAATTCAGCTCCTTTTCCATTAAAAGTATAAGGTTTTGTGTTTTTATTCCAGAAATATAGCTGACATTAGCATTCAGGTATACAGTTCCGTTTATCTGTAGTAAGAGTCTTTTAAAATTAAGTTAAATACAGCACAAAGGACATAGAAAATCAATATTATTTCATTTCTTGTAAGTAAGATCTTTCTATACACATTTGCTTGGGCTGCTTATAAATTTCTCCCGTTACAGAAGTATTTTATAATAACTGTCAGTTATAGATTTAACTGTAGCAGAAAATAGTACAAGTTCTGTAGCATCTTCATGCATCAGGTAAAAACTGCTTCGCTCAGTGTTAGTGTAGGATCGCTATGCAGTCTCCTGAAAGATGCCTTTAAAGTGTGGTGGTAGTAATAGGACATTTAGTACTCTACTGCGTGGACTGTGTACAGTTTGATATACTGCACTTGAGGTATTAGTTTACCTATTACAACCTCTACATTCAGTAAAGAGTCTGTAAGTATTTGTTGTTGAACATGAACTTCATTTGAAAATAATTTTTAAAAATTGAGTTACTTTAACACTAATGATACATGAGATTTAGTTACCTTATGATTATAACATAAAAATTTCTCTCCCTATGTTACTTACAGTTAAAACTGAATTCGGGCTAGGGGTAGAGACATGTACCTGTAATCCCAGTACTCAGAAGGGCAAGGGCAAGGCAGTGTAGGCTTCATGGTGAGACCAGGTCTTAACAAATAAATCTGAACCTCTAAATTTTGCTGGCATTAGCCAGTGATTGATAGAGCTGGTTGAAAGTACTTTATTTTAATGGATTAGAATTGAATATGCACAAATTCAATTTTCTGATCACCATATATGCATGGTTACATTTGCAGGTACCCTCTAGGTAACTTTTCAGAAAAAGTTAACTCAGGTACAAATTAAGTACTCATTAGGTTCCACTCTACAGATGTGACAGCCACACTAGACAGAAGGTTATTTTAAATTTGGCTTCAGCACTGAAGTGCATAAACTGAAGAACTCCGTTTCTTTAATATATCCTTAATAATAAATGAAAGGCGAAGGTAGCCTTGTTGCTATGGGGACATAGGAATCCATAAAGGGCATTTCCTGGCTTTGGCTTATTGAGAGTTTGGAAGTGTTAGACCTACTGATGAAAGTTGGGATTTTAGTAAATAGTATACATAACGAGACTTTAGCATCTCATATCTATGTGGAAATAAGGGACTGTTTTTTTTTTTGTTGTTGTTGTTGTTGTTTGTTTTTTTCGAGACAGGGTTTCTCTGTGTAGCTTTGTGCCTTTCCTGGAACTCGCTTTGGAGACCAGGCTGGCCTCGAACTCACAGAGATCCGCCTGCCTCTGCCTCCCAAGTGCTGGGATTAAAGGCGTGGACTGTTTTTTAAAAAGTGCAGAGCATGCAAAATTAGCAACTTGTGTACTTTGTTGTAGATGAAAATACACATACAACCCATGAATTCTATTTTGGGGACCGATGCAGTAGGAAGAGAGCATGAATTGTTTCAATTGCCGTACACTTCTTGGTGTTTTTACTTCCGTTTGATTCTTTTTTCTTTTTTTTGCTTTTTTTTTTTTTTTAACCGGAGCTGAGGACTGAACCCAGGGCCTTGCGCTTGCTAGGCAGGCGCTCTATCACTGAGCTAAATCCCCAACCCCTCCATTTGATTCTTACATGTGCTACTTTTTGAAGGAGTATGAGAACATTGGTTTGAGGATGAGCTGGTAAAATCTTTGTACAAAATGTCCAGAAATGATAACTTTCCACATAACTTTTCCATCCCATTTCTGAAAATGACCACAGTTGTCTTAAATATTTTTCAATTTTTATTCAAATTATGTTTAATTATAGTTTTAATGAAGTTCTAAATAACACAGGAAAAAAGATGTAAACAGAAACATTTTTGTGATAACCTTTTGGCAGTCTATATAAAGTAGAATACTGATCTTTCAATACTAAGCAGATTTTTGGGGGTTGTATATGACAATTGTTGGTGTCATTATCAAGCATAGCTTGCACATGGAGTGTATTTTGAGATACAGGCAAATATTGAATGTTAATAAATGTGATCAGAAAAAATAGTCTATTAAAAATATTAGTTGCTAGATGAGTTACTGCTCTACACAGCTCTGAAAATGTAGGTGCTGTTGAAAGTAAACTAAAGAATAGAAAGACTTGAAAATAAGGACTGAAGAGATGCTCTTCCAGAGGACCTGGGTTCAATTCCAAGTACTTCCATGGCAGCTCACAATCATCTGAAACTTCAGTTTTAGGGGTTTCAGCAGCCTCCTCTGGTCTCCACAGGCACCAGGCATACAGGCACACACTCAGGCAAAACACCCATGTACAACATTGTAAAAAATATTTGAAAATAATTTATATTTTCAAGAGCTTATGATCATGATTATGTATATTATATAAAATATATTTATATATAATAAATATACATATAAATATATATTTATTATATATATTTATGACAAAAGGATGTCTTATCATATCTAACAGATAAAAATTGTGTTTTTTTTTACTTTTTGGTTATGAAAAGAACTAATTTAGTGATCTAATATTTCATGATTCTGACATGCTAAGAATTGTTCTTATAAAATATCCTAAAATTTAAGAATGGTTATTAATATAACATTTTAGGTAAGAATATAAAATATATATATATTGTTAGCAAGGGTTAAGGCCTTTGTAGCTGTAAGGAAACTGGACAGCATTCTCCCTCCTCTCTCAGTCTTTCTCTGGTACCGGATAGAGTTGCTCATCTATGGACTTTAGACTTGAAAAGCTGCTCTGAGAGAGCTGCCTTAGGGAGAAAGCAGCAGCTTTTGTGGCCTTTGAACTCGAGAAGTGTCGTTTCCTCTGTTAGCCTTGGTGTCTCTTTAGAATTTATGTTTGACCATGGATGGAGGTCAGTCCAACTACAGATAGACTTGAGTAGGTTTTCACTTTTGCACCTTTTCAAAAGCAGGAGCAGAAGAAAGTAACTTTTCAGTTTAAATAACTGCTGACTCAGTTATTCTGCTTTGTCTATAGTGTGACATTTTAGACTTAGAAACATTTATTACGTTTTCTGCTATTGGCAAAGTAACACAAGTTTTAGTTTTAGGTATTGTAGTCTTTGAATTGAGTTAAGAGAATTGTTAATTTTAGCTGTGTGTACCTTAAACAGTAGATTTGGGGCTAGGGATAGAGCTGACAGGTAGAGCACATAACCTAGCACACACAAGGCCCCTAGTTTGCCCTGGGGATGTACACATGAGTGCAGACACACAGGCAGTACACTTTTTAAACTTGCACTTACTGTGTAACTTGTATACTAAATGGATACATCTTAGCATTGAAGAGAGGGAGCATTATGGTGTGGAGGAACCTCTGTGTAGAACAGTGCAGAGGACTGAAGAGTTGGAAGAGAAGCCATCTGCTGTGCTGGTGTTGTGTCCAGAAATGGATGGCTGTTGGGTAGAGGGCGTGCTCTTGCCAGATGTGTCAGTATATGTTTAAATCCCAGCTGTTGGGAAGCTAAGGCTGGAGGAGCAGAAGTTTCCTCTAGCCTGGGTAACATAACAGTATGCTCCCTTCCCATCAGTAGTTCTCCAGTATTAACGCTGAAAGCCCAAGGGGGGCTGGCCTGCCTTTCCCCAGTCTGCTGTTTGCAGGGGCGCTGACTCTCACTGCACTCTGGCAAAGGAGAGACGTGGGAATAACATACAGTTCATACCAGTCAGAGTTCGTAACAAGGTTACAAAAGTTGTATTTATTTGACACTTGGTTTATTTGATATTTTGTTATTTCAGGAAATGTTTGTATATTTGTCCACCCAACTGAAGAAATTGGCAGAGACCTACGATGAAAGACTGCTACAGACACCTCACAACCCTATATCTTTAGGTAACTTTTTTCTTAATAAAAGAGAATATTTCTGAGATGTTCTTAGGAGGAAGTTATTTATAGAAACAGTGAACTTGTTCTGATTATGCTGATATTTCTAAATCCATCCCAGTATTAACTGATAACTTGAAGTTTACTTAGCCTTTAGAAATGGTGTAATGTTTATCTAAGGTAAAACCTATCTAGTGAGCCGGGCGGTGGTGGCGCACACCTTTAATCCCAGCATTCGGGAGGCAGAGCCAGGCGGATATCTGTGAGTTTGAGACCAGTCTGGGCTACCAAGTGAGTTCCAGGAAAGGCGCAAAGCTACACAGAGAAACTCTGTCTCGAAAAACCAAAAAAAAAAAAAACCTATCTAGTGAAGGAATCAGAGTCCACAGGAAATATAATGAACGTACAGATCGTAATTAGGGCTTGCTTCTCATAATGGAAATTGCTCCATTGACAAAGCACCAGCATAGCGTTTTTAGTGCCTGTGCTTATTTCCTCAGCCTCTGCCTGCTGTGGAGAGCTGGGTCATGAATTGATCTGCTGATTTCCGCCCTGATAGTCCTGCCACGTAGTTCAGGGACTGGTGAAGTGAATGTAGTGGGCTAGAGGGATGACCGTGGTTAAGAATGCTCTTCCAGAGGGTTTGAGTTCCTTTCTCAGCTCTGAAAAGGTCAGCTCATAACTGCCTTTAACTCCAGCTCTAGAGAATCCAACACCCTCTCTGGCTTTTGAAGCACCTAAGCATACATGCACATGCCCATAAACAAACCTAAATAAAAAGTATTTCAAAAAGTGAATAATTGACTTTTACATATGACAATTATTTTGTATTTTATATTTTACAATTAGTTTGTGAATGTATGAAGTACAGTATGTTTTATATTTTCCATCCAGTTGAGGAAAGTGAATCATTTATAACTGCAGCCTTTTTGAAATGTGCATTCATGGAGACCATGTGGACACCAACACCTAATACAAAGTCCCTAATCCTTTGCCCACAGAGCAGGTGGGCACATCACCTCTACCTTGTTTTAGTTGCCAATCCCTTTTCCCTATCTCTAAGATAGAGATAATAATCTATCATGCAAAATTGCTTACGAATGGTTGAGACAGTTGTCTTAGGGTTTCAGTTGCTGCAACGAACACCATGGCCAGAAAGCAAGTTGAGGAGGAGATGGCTTATTTGGCTTACACTTCGACATTGCTGTTCATCAGTCAAGGAAGTCAGGGCAGGAACTCAAACAGGGCAGGATCCTGGAGGCAGGAGCTGATGCAGAGGCCATGGAGGGGAGCTGCTTTCTTGTAGAACCCAGGATCAGCGGCCCAGGGAGGGCACCACCCACCATGGGCTAGGCATTCCCCCATTGATCACTAATTGAGAAAATGTCTTACAGCTGGATCTCATGGAGGCATTTCCTCAATTGAGGCTCCTTCCCTGCTGATGACTCTAGCTTGTATCAGGTTGACACACAAAACAATGTACAATAATGTTTGTAAAGTGTCTAGCTTGGCAAGCCAGTCTTCAATAAATGATGGCTATGGCAGTGGTGGGGTACCAAGGATGCAGTTTACTATGAGGTTTCACAGTGGCGATTACACATTTGTGTATGCAGAAGTTGATCTTGGTCTTATATGTACTGAGATACACATATAATATTTATATTGTTTAACTTCTTCCAACTTGGTTGGATTTAGTTAGCAGCTCCAGTGATCATAGTGATATGGAAATTTTGTCCATGATTTGTGAACCTATTTGCTTAAAATTATGTTTGTCTGATATGGAAACAACCCTTGCTATAATTTATCAAGTACACTAAAGTGCTGTTAATCTACAGAACAATGAATGAAAGTAGTTTCTTTATCATTATTTGTCTTGAGTGGTTTTTGTAATCCAAAAGCTTGTTGAATTGTTTTTGTTTTTGTTTTCTCCTAGCTATGACACTTAGGACACTAGATGGACATCATGACAAAGCTGTCACTCAACTTGGCTCAATGCTTTTTACCAGACAAGTTTCTGGAGCCAGGTGAGTAGATTTAAGAGATGAATTTATTTGTTTTTGATGTCACCTCTAGGACACGGTATGTGTCTGTCTGTCTCTCAGCCAGCAGGGACATCTGTACTTTATAATCTGTTTTGGTTTCATCCTATGTTTTTTCTAATGGATTTTTCAAAACTTTTGTAATCTTAATAACTTTGAAGCCCTACTTCCTAAATTTTAAGAACTTGAAAGTTCTAATGGAAGGTACTGTTTATATGCATGCCAACAAGTTAAAGCCCAATGATATGAATGTTTTCCAAGACAATGATGCCAGTTTTGACCTTAGTGCCTTCTGGGTTTGGTGTTTGGCTCTCTGATGATTCCAGTTTCTTGGCTTTTCCTTCTTCAGCTCTTCTTGTCCTTTTCTATCCTGTGTGGTGATTTGGTGAGATAAATATTCTTTTGTCTGACTCCTTAGCCCCAGCCCACACCACATAATGCGTTTCAGGTTTTATTGCAATGAAAGCGCTTATGTTGGCTTTTCTTTTTAAAAAAAGTTTAATCAAGGACTTCTCATCAGTAGCCCTTCACTATATACTGAGCCATGCCTGAGAATTCACTGTGGCCAGAGAGCAAGAAGGTAATGGACTGTGAGGCTGTTAACACCCACCTGGACTGTGTGGTCAGAACTCTGGAAGCCAGGAGTCTTGTTTGCTGTAGTGCCTCTCTGGGTGCCTTGTTGTTGTTGCAGCTGTTGCAGCTGCTGCAGCTGCTGCAGTTTTAGGGATCTAGGGCCCAAGGCATGCGTGCATGGTACACACCTGACCACCGATGCATCCCCAACTCTCCTTTTATTTTCAGACAGGCTACCACTAAGTTTCCAGGCTGAACTTGAACTTACTCAGGCCCAATCAGGCGTAGAACTTGCAAGCCTCCTGTCTTGCAAGGCCCAGCTTCTGTGTAGATTTTTATCTTAATTCTTCCTTAGATGATCTTCAGTATTGTCATATTATACTAGTAGACCAGAAATAAGTAATCTTTGCTATCAATTTCAAGTGGAAAAGTTGCTTTTAAAAAACAAGTGTTTATTTAGCTTTTACTCCAGGTCATAGTCCATCATTGAGGGGAGTCAGGGTAGCAACTGAAGCGGGAACTGAAGTAGTAACCATTGAGGAAAGATGCTTTATGGCTCATTCATTCACCTGTGTTTAGCTTCCTTTCTTAAATAGTCCAGGACCACCTGCCTAGGGATAGTACTGCCCACAGTGAGCTGGGCCCTCCTACATTAATTAGCAATCATGATACTATCCCATAGATAAGCCTAGAGGCCAATCTGATCTGAGGTTTTCTCTTCCAGTTGACTTTAGGTTGTGTTAGGTTGACAATAAAAACTAACTAGCGGTGGTGGCACACGCCTTTAGTCCCAGCACTCGGGAGGCAGAGCCAGGAGGATCTCTGTGAGTTCGAGGCCAGCTTGGGCTACCAAGTGAGTTCCAGGAAAGGCGCAAAGCTACACAGAGAAACCCTGTCTCGAAAAACCAAAAACAAACAAACAAACAAACAAAAAACTAACCAGAACATTAAACTAAGAGAATTATGCCTTTCTTGACCAAGAGTTATCTTACAGGTGTACTTTCTGCTCATATGTATGTGGGCATCAAAATCAGCTATTTTACATTAGAGAAAAATGATGTATTTTGCTTTAAATGCTTTCCATCACATCTTTTTTTTTTTTTTTTTTTTGATTTTTCAAGACAGGGTTTCTCTGTGTAGCTTTGCGCCTTTCCTGGAACTCACTTGGTAGCCCAGGCTGACCTCGAACTCACAGAGATCCGCCTGGCTCTGCCTCCCGAGTGCTGGGATTAAAGGTGAGCGCCACCACCGCCCGGCTTTCCATCACATCTTTATGAAAGCATTTTACTCTGACTACCTCTCTTAGTCAGTGTTCTATTGCTGTGAAGAGACACTATGACCATGACAGTTCTTACAAAGGAAGGCATTTAATTTGGGCTTGCTTACAGTTTCAGAGGTTTAGTCCATTTTCATCATGGTGACAGACAGGCAGACATAGTGCTGGAGAAGGAGCCAAGAGTTCTACATCCGGCTCTTCAGGCAGCAGAAAGAGAAGAGAGCCACTGGGCCTGGCTTGGGCTTCTGAAACCTCAAAAATCCATCCCCAGTGACATACTTTCTCCTGCAAGGCTGCACCCACCCTTAATAAGACCAGACCTCCTAATCCTTCTAAGTAAATTCTTCTAAGTAGTGTCACTTTCTGATGACAAGCATTCAAATATATGAGCCTGTGGGGACCATTCTTATTCGAACCACTTGCAGAGGATGAAGTGCCTGTGTTAAAGGACTTAGTTTTCATTTGTGCTTTGATTGGATCTTCTTGGAGCTGGAGTCATAGGCAGGTTGTGAGTTAGCTGATGTGGATGCTGGTAATGAAATTTGGATACTCTGAGTCTTCTGCAAGAAGAGTATGAATTCTTAACCACTGAGCTGTCCCTCTGGCTCCATTGTTTTGTTTTGAGCTAGTGTCTTGTTATGTACCCTGGCTGGCCTCAGGATCCTCCTGTCTCTCTTCCAGTGTTAACCACAGCTGGCTAAATGACAGCTTGTTCAAAGAAAAAAATCTTAGATCAATTGAGCTTTTAACTTGAGAAACTGTATGCTGTATAGTTTTGATGCTTTTAAAATGGTTTTGTTAAGAGGCCTCTATTTGTCTTTATGTGTGGGTTGATCTTAATTGGTTCTCTCTCCCTCCCTCCCTCCCTCTCTTTTTCTTTTTTGGTTTATTGAGACAGTTTCTTCGCAAAATAGCCCTGGCTGTCCTGGAACTCACTCTGTAGACCAGGCTGGCCTCCAACTCACAGAGATCACCTTGCCTCTGCCTCCTGAGTGCTGGGATTAAAGCTGTGTGCGCCACCACCTCCTGGCCTTTAATTAGTTTCTTTGTTGTTTGTTTGTTTTTTTTTTTTTTTTGGTTTTTCGAGACAGGGTTTCTCTGTGTAGTTTTGCGCCTTTCCTGGAACTCACTTGGTAGTCCAGGCTGGCCTCGAACTCACAGAGATCCGCCTGGCTCTGCCTCCCGAGTGCTGGGATTAAAGGCGTGCGCCACCACCGCCTTTAATTAGTTTCTTAAAAAGTAAAAGATTAGAAATCTGCTTGTGTCTAAGGATGCAATGGAAGTCAACCTCAAATAATGCATATGCTATTGGTGGGCTGTTGCTGTTTGCCGACCTCCACCCACTGAAGCAGTTACACAGTTCCTAGATCTCACTGTGAGCTCTTTCACTACACAGTGCTGGTTGCATGATCGGAATTCTCATTTGTTGATGGTGAGGTAGCAATAAACCAAAGCAGTTTGGCTTACACAGTTGAAGTCAGATTCTAGATTTGGCACAAACTAAATTTCTTATTACTTGTTACTTCTTTGAAGAAGATGTGAAAATAGTGGAATTCCTTGAGCTTCTTGCTATCTATTATAGAAGGTGAGTAAATGGTCATTACTAGGCAGGACTTTTCAGTTGTATTTTACACTTTCATTTTAAGCTGACCGTTTGTTTGTGTAGGTCATGATTTGTGCTGTTTCTGAGCTTCTTAATCGGAGGTTATGTGGCTCAGTGAGATAGGTGCCTTGTTTTTGGGTGGCATTTATTAACATCACCAGACATATCAGGTTGATAAATCTTTTCCCTTTCAGGGCTGTGCCTCTTGGATCTGTGCAAACTGTGAGTGGCCATACTTTCCAAGGCTTCATGTCCCACACAGATAATTACCCTTGTGCTTACCTCAATGCGGCGGCAGCCATCGGGATGAAGACACAGGATGTGGACTTGTTCATAAAGAGACTTGAGAAGTGCTTAAACACAATAAGAAAAGAACAACAAAAAGCAAGTGTTGTGTCTGGAGTTGACGATTGTAACAGAGCCGGAGATGTGGACGTTGAGGAAATGGCTTTGAAACTAGATAGTGTGCTTGGTGACAAGGACCAGCCACCTTCTTCATGACACAGGTGGTTTTTGTTGTTTTTTTGCTACAGTTCATACAAGCACTTTAAAGGATATATGTAAAGTTTTTGAATTGAGAATTTGTAGAGAATGTTCCGTCCAGGAAGAGAATGGTCTGAGGGTAGCCATTGGTGATTGCTTTTTTTTTATCCTTAGAATACCTCAGTCCTTATGATTCTTAACAGGTTATAACATGCAGTTGCAGTTAATGTTTTCTGATTGTTATATTACTTAAGCAACACAATTCAGATGATTCTTACTAATATAAACTGTAAAGTTACATGTAATTCTCATTGAAATACAGAGTGCTTCTTCCTAGCCATTCTCCAGCATTCAAAGATTTCTTTTTTTCTGATCATACAGAGTTGAGAAGGATATTTCTAGTGCTGCTGAATCCTAGGTGTTTGTTTAGCTGTCTCTATGCCAATAAAGGGAGTCCTTAAGGAAGCAGAGCTAAGACATAGCTTACTGTAAACTTCAGGGCAGTTGTTCTCACTGGACTGGCTTGATTATACACAAGCAACATGGAAAGACCCCAAGTGGATGCCAGTGACCTTAACTGGTAGAAGTCAAAGGTTCTGCTCAACATCTTACCTACTGCCCAACACATGGTTTCCACAGAAGAATTCTCCAAATGTCAGTAGTGCTGTGGGTCAAGGAAGTGAGCCCCTCAGCAAAGTTGCTTTATGCAGCAGCTTGGTCATGTGCTGCCTCATGGCATTGCTGTTCGTGGTGGGCTGCAGAGAAGTCAGTAGTGATGGCTCTCTAGGTTGGTTAAGTATGTGTCATGATGTTCACAGATAGATGAAATCAGCTAATTATACATTTTTTTTAGACCATAGCTCAGTGAATGTGATTGCATATCAAAAAAAAAAAAAAAAAAGCTCTGTGAATGTTACCAATTCTGCATAGAGGCTCTTGGGTAACAACCAGAATCATTAGTTCTAAATAAGTTGTTATAAATCATTTTATATAATACCTGCTCATTTTTCCATTTGGGCAACTGAAAACTATTCCCCAACTGTCTTGACTTTAAGCAGCCTTTGTGAACTGACTAGTTCACTCAGGGATTGTGCACAGCCACCATCAGGACCAGCTAATATGCCTGGCTTTGAACATGTTCTTGCTAAGGAGGTCAGAATTATACAGTACAGCAAATCTATGTTTTATATATGGGCAGAAAGAGAATATATAAGTTTATAATACTCTCTGTGTGTGTGTGTGTGTGTGTGTGTGTGTATGTGTGTGTCTGAAATTCCAGGCCCAATAGCTCTTACAGTGATTTTTGTTAATTTAAAACAAACAGAGTGGGGAATTAGTGAAGCCTCCTGAAAACACCACCATGCCAAAGTTGTATTTCTCAGACCTGCTCTGTAGAGTGTCATTCCACCCAAGACAAGACATGGGCAAAGTGGTCCATGGAGAAACAGTATAGGGAAATGCCTTTGTAAATATGCTTAGTGTATTAAGTGCTGCAAGAGGATTCCTTTAGTAAAGGTTGGCCTGCTTTTCCAAAGAGGAGCCAGCTCTCTGAAGTGAAACACTCATTGCTGTCTCCTCCATCAGACTCTTCCAACACAATGGGCCAAATGCATTGACCTCTGGATTCTATTGCTTGTATTAGTTGGCACTGAGCTGTGTGTGAAAAGGGGTCTTTCTTGTGTGCTATCTTAGAGGGTTTATCAAGGTGAGTTCAGCCAGATGCTGAGTGTGAAAATTGGACTGTGTGAGCCACTGATGCCCGTAGAAGTCAAGGCTGGCTGGCTGGCTGGCTGGAGATAAAGAACTCATTTGGAGATGTCTAGGTGATTCCTAAGTACATTCTATACTCTGTGGACCAGACCAGACACTGACATGACTCTTAAGTAGCTACAGTGACTCATTACACGGGAGCAAATCCTGGATTGAAAAGGTATGTGCTCTTTCCTTGGTGGATTCGGGACTGCACTGTAGACCTGAGGAAGCTACAGAAGCCCAGTCTCCAGGAGCCACGAGGGTCAGATGCTGCTGCTGCTGCCGGCGGAAATGCTGGCAGTGCAACTTCCTACGCATTAGGCCAAATGGTTTTCTAGAACAACTCATCTATGTGGTGTGATCATCAGTTTGCTTAAGAAAGGCCAGAGTCCAGAGACTGAGGATGCTTCCTCATCTGCCGAGTATCAGCAGTTCTTGGGCTTCAGCTGCTGAATGGATAATAATTCTAATTGAAGATAAATGACATGAGCTCACATGTGAATGATAGATACGGTATAACAGTTATTCCTGGTGCATAAAATCTGCTGCAGTTTTGGTTTTTAACCCCTTCCTTTTTAAGTAGTTTTAAATTCCAGCTCTGTTCCTCCTGACTCCAAGCTTGACCCTAAAGTCACAGAACTCAGTTTTCTAAAAGAAGAAAACAGTTACTTGCCATCATGCTTGCCTCCCCCCGAACCCTGTATAACTTACCTAGTTCCCTCATATGCACATGCCTATGTTAAAAGACTATATCCAAGTGTCTGCTGTGAGGCACTTAGACCGCTTGGGTGCTTCGTGATCTGCCTTTGTTGCCCTCAGACTGTGCCCCAGCTCCTCTGTGAATAAGGCCGTAAGGTAGATTTTGGAGATTGGCGTTTAGAGTCACTGGGCTGGAGTAGTCTGCAGAGAAGAGAACCGAGTCACAGAATGATTGGTCACTAATGCGGCTTACTCACACTGCAGGGAGAAGTCTCTGCTGATGTGTTCTCACTGTCGGGAAAGATGTAAGACAAATCTCGCGCCCCCCCCCCCCCCATGTAAACGCAAAGAACCTTTATTTCAAGCTCCAGAGCTTGGTCCCTCTGTCCCACACAGCAGTGAGAGCAGAGAGCCGTAAGACAAATCTTAAATGGTCTTATAAATAAAAAACCTGGAGCCAGGTACTGGGTGAAAACTGAGAGATCAGAGGAATAGAACAAGCCACAGCCACCAGCTGTTACCTCACAAACTCCATGAATCCTCTGACTGAAATCCTCAGCCTCAAAGAGAGCCATTTCCTGTATACGCACACCGATATACCTTTCTGTGCCCTGCCATCTTACTTCCTCTCTCCGCCCAGCTACATCATTTCCTCTTTCTGTCCATCTCTATCACTTCCTGTCTGTCTGTACAGACCTACAGACCTCCATGGTTAACTAGTGCTGGGATTAAAGGCATATGCCACCATGCCTGGCTGTGTTCCCACTGTGGCCTTGAACTCACAGAGATCTGAATGAATCTCTGCCTCCCGAATGCTAGAATTAAAGGCATGTGCTACCATTGCCTGACCTCTATGTTTAATATAGTGGCTGGCTTTTTCCTTTGATCCCCAGATAAGCTTTTTGGGGTGCACTGATGAGATTGACCTTATATTGAGTTGAAAAACACTTGATTGGCCTTATGTTGAGTTTTATATGTGTAGAAGTTGGTTAATTTCATAATCTCTGAATAATTTGGAAAGAGCCAATAAGACATGTTAGTAACAGAAGTGTGTGTGTGTGTGTGTGTGTGTGTGTGTGTGTGTGTGTGTGTGTGTGTGTGTGATCCAGACAGGTGTCTGTCTGTTGGTTCTGCTCTTTGGACAGCCTTAGTCCACAGGTCTGACTTGCTGCCTCCTTTAGTAAATTGCCTTACATTTTACTTTCATTTGGCCTCATGGTCTATGTGATAAGATAATGATTTTACAGCTAATGAATATGTCTTTGTAATTTATCTGCTAATATTCTGCAGTTCAAGCTAAGGCCTTGGACAAAGCCAGACTGTTTATACCACCTAAGTGATGCCACCAAGAGCTTTTGGAGAAAGGTGAAAGAAGGTTGAGTTAACTGTGTAACTGAGGGGGTTGGGCCTGGATTGGAGCTATGAGACTGTGGTGCGGACCTGTGTATTACCAAAAGGGAGAAACACTTCCACAAATATTTTTGGTATAGACTGTTTAAAAATGAAAATAAATTGTATAATTTATTACATGAAATAAATTTTTAATAAATCACTGACAGTGCCTTTATATTATTTCACTGAAGCATTACTCCAGGTAAAATCTGAAAGTACAAATAACCTGTACTCAATTCTTGCCCTCTTTTTAATTCCAACATCATTATAAGCTTGCCCAGAAGTCAGCAGGAAAAGTCTGGCTTGGGGTAGGAATCGTGTCATGGCTGTTGACTGTAGAAGGTTGGCACTTAACAGTATCAATCAAAGGCCGACAAGATGGCCCAGTGGGCAAAGGCACTTGCCACCCAGCCTTACAGCCCTAGTGACTCGCATGACGGAAAGAAAGAACTGACTTCTGCAAGTTGTCTTCTGGCCACATACACACACAATCACGCATGTACACACACAAAAACTGATAAATTTTAAGAACTCATTTATTTGAAAGAGATTCCTATCAACTTCAGATTTTATTGTTGACCTGTGTTTTTTTTTTTTTTTTTTTAAATTATGTACTTTCCATGAATTGGGAGTTTAAGTCTCCCTGTTACTTCCCTGTGAACTTATGACATAACCTGCCCAAATCTTGGTAACATCAGAAGTGGAATGGAGACCACCCTAGAGACTGAGGATCAATGGATAATAAATGCAAATAATATTAATAAATGTTTCAGGGCCTGAAACAGCTTGAACTGTAAGTAAATACCAACATTCTGGATGAAGCTATATTGTATTAAATTGTGCTAGATTTAAATGAAAATATTCTGAGGTGGGTTATTGGGGAATTTTACCCATTCTCTAGTGGGAAATCCAAAAAACGAATTTGATTTTAGATGACTTTTGGTCATCTATTTTGGTTTTTAATGAGTTTCCTTTGGTTTTGCAGTTACATCTGAGAACTAGAAAACATATTAAGGTCTACTGACTATTTTTTGCACCAGAGTTACATATTATAACCCAGGGAAGACTGTAGTTGTCTGTTTTGTTTTTTTTTTTTTTACTCTTTGGGGGGGTCCCACCACCCAGCTCCCAAACAAATCACATACAGAGGCTTATTATTAGTTATAAAAGTCCAGCCTTAGCTTGACTTGTTTCTAGCCATCTTTTCTGAAATTATCCCATGTACCCTGCCTCTAGGCTTTATCTTTATCCTGTATACCTTTCTTTTTTTTTTTTTTTTTTTTTTTGGTTTTTTGAGACAGGGTTTCTCTGTGTAGCTTTGCGCCTTTCCTGGGACTCACTTGGTAGCCCAGGCTGGCCTCGAACTCACAGAGATCCACCTGGCTCTGCCTCCCGAGTGCTGGGATTAAAGGCGTGCGCCACCACCGCCCGGCCTGTATACCTTTCTTTACCTCTTACTCCATGGCTTGCTATGTAGCTGGGTGGCTGGCTCCTGCAATCCTCCTCTTTCTCTTGCTCCTAGATCTTTTTTCTCTCTTTTTCTCCTTCTATTTATTCTCTCTGCCTGCCAGCCCTGCCCATCCTTTCTCCTGCCTTGCTATTGGCTGTTGAGCTCTTTATTAGACCAATCAGATGTTTTAGACAAGCAAAGTAGCACAGCTTCACAGAGTTAAGCAAATGCAACATAAAAGAATGCAACACGGGGTTGGGGATTTAGCTCAGTGGTTGAGCACTAAGGCCCTGGGTTCGGTCCTCAGCTCTGAAAAAAAAAAAAAGAATGCAACACATCTTTGCATCACTAAACAAATGTTCCACAACATAAACAAATGTAACATCTTTTTTTTTTTTGGTTTTTTCGAGACAGGGTTTCTCTGTGTAGCTTTGCGCCTTTTCCTGGAACTCACTTGGTAGCCTAGGCTGGCCTCGAACTCACAGAGATCCGCCTGGCTCTGCCTCCCGAGGGCTGGGATTAAAGGCGTGCGCCACCACCGCCCGGCCAAATGTAACATCTTAAAATAATATTCTACAACAGGAGACAGTCAGAGCAAGTTCATGTCCTGGTGACTTCTGCAGAGATGTGTTTTGGTAGAGGCAGCAGGCTTGTGCAGTACAGCCGGCCTGTTCCTATATGACCTCACTGTGGAAGCAGTTGGACATGGTTCCTACACTTACACCTGCACAAGCCTTTCTGGACCCAACTCTAGCACATATTTTTTGGATACATAGTAGTTCTTTTAAGGCAATTCTTGGATCTTTCTTCTCAAAATATGCTCACCCTCAGCCTTCCCACTCAGTTATTCACACTCCTTCCCACTGTGTAGGCCAAAAGTGTGGGAGCTAACCTTGACTGTCTCAAATTCTATAATTGCATCAAGAAGTCATGTAAAGTTGGGCATGGTCGCATATTCCTGCAATCCTGGTAATCAGGAGACTGAGACAGGAGTATTGCGAATTGAAGACCACCCTGGGCAACAAAGTTATGTGACTCTGCCAGTCAGTCAAATAAATATGTAATAGTCATATTGTAGCTACTTAAAAATTCCCCCGGAATCAAGCCTATGTCCTCCGTCACAGGTTTGTGTGTTGATAATGTGTTCCCCAATATATCGTGCCCTCTAATAAACTTGTCTGGGGTCGGAGAACAGAACAGCCACTAGACAGACATAGAGGTCAGAAAATGGTGGAACTCACACCTCTAATCCTAGCATTCCAGAGGCAGAGATCCGTTTGGATCTCTGTGAGTTCTAAGCCACACTGGAAACAGCCAGGCATGGTGGCACACACCTTTGATCCCAGGAAGGGATGGCAGGAAGCAGAAAGGTATATAAGGCATGAGGACCAGGAACTAACCTGGTTAAGCTTTTAGGCTTTTGAGCAGCAGTTCAGCTGAGATCCATTTGGATGAGGACTCAGAAGCTTCCAGTCTGAGGAAACAGGATCAGCTGAGGAATTGGTGAGGTGAGGTGACTGTGGTTTGTTCTGTTTCTCTGATCTTCCAGTGTTGACCCCAGTACCTGGCTCCAGGTTTGTTTTTATTAATAAGACCTTCTAAGATTCACGTTACAGGTTTGAACTGTCTGGGTTTCCTTATGTTGTTATAGGATCTACTTCCTGCTCTCCTAAAGAGACTTCTTCCTTGACTCTGCTCTACAGTCTTCACAGTACAATAGCCAGCCTGTGTGACCCTTTAGAAGCATACTGTGTCACAGCTCAGGCTTTTGCAGCAATTCCCTGTATGATTTAGAGAGTCAGCCTAAGTACCCACTGTCCACAGAGACCCTACCACATCTAACCATCCTGTCCCCATCCCTCCATCTTTCTAACTCTCTCCCGCTTTGTCCGTGTCACTGTCCAGCCAGACTGGTCAGCTTGCTGCTGTTCAGTCCCCCAGAACGCCTTGCCTCAGAGCTTTGCCTCTGGCTCCTCTCTTTGCCTGGGACTGTCAACCCAGGCTCCTGGTTAACTCACTTTCCTCATGGTTTTATTAAATCCACTTCTCGGAGAGAAGTCATAGGAGCTTCTAAGAGCTATAGCTGTCTTCTCTCCCTTGTCTTCAAGTGTATGGATCCTGTGTTGGTGTCCTGCAAGCTACCTGGAGTTCTGTGTATGGCAGATTCTGATTCAGTAGGTCGGGGCTTGTGCTGTGTGTAGCCCAAACTTGTGATAGCTCTCCTAGTGGTCCTCGCCTGTTGGTCATGCCTCACGCTGAGGAGCAGAGGTCTAACACAGCATGTAATTTACAGGTTTGTGAAAGCCTGTTTTCCTCTATGCCCCTGGCCAGGCCATCAGTCCCACCAGAACAACGTTCTCGTCACTCATATTCTAAGCACCTGAGCAGCAGCTGCCACACGACATTCAGCTATTTATTGTATAAAAGATTGAAGAGAGATTAAATATTTATGCAGCTGTGAATCCCATCTTGTCTGATTGAAACTCTCCAGTAGTCCCATCTCTAATACATTCCAGAATCTTTCCTGGAGGTGCAGATGCAGGGGTCCTTCTCGGCTCTCCTTGTGCAAGGGGAGCCTCACACCCTCTCCCCTCACCTGACCAGCCTCCTTGCTGTTACAAGATCGGCTTTAGCCTGTCAAATCAAAGTCACAGTCATCAGCCAGTGTCTGAAGATGGCAGTGCCACAAGGCCACCGCTGCTGTGTCTTCTCACAGGCGGCAGCAGACTTTGCCTGGGGACTTCCACCTGGCTGGTAAGCACACCATATCAGTCTAGTGATTGCTCTGCTTGGCCTGCTCGCTCTCCTCTCCTCCTCTCCTCTCCCTCCCCCCTTCCTCCCTCACTCCCTCTCTCTTCAATCTTGCTCCCCTCTCCTCTCTCAACAGGCATTGCTCCCCAGTAAACCTTTTCTAGCATGGCCAGCCGCCTCACCATCTCCTGGGGTGTGACCTACAGTACTGTGGGCTCCACTCTTCTGCTTGCCTTTCTTGTCCTTCTTCTTTGCTCTAAACCAACCCTAGGGTACACCACTTACAGTATTCAGATATTGCTAATCTATATAGTTCTTTAGCTGAATGAATCTCATTTGGTAGTCACTGCAGACATGACAGTGTGTGTGTGTGTGGGGGGGGGTACACTCACTTGTGTGCATGTGTGCAAGTCAGAGATTGACTTTGGATCTCTTTATCTCTCTCTCCCCTATGTTTTGAGACAGGGCCTCTCACTGAATCTGTAACTTGCTATTTTGACTGGACTGGTTGGCCGGGAAGCCCTTGGTGTTCTTGCCTATCCCCCTGCCTCAGTGCTGCCATGCCCCGTTTTTATGTGGCTTCTGGGGATCCGAACTCAGGTCCTCATGCTTGCACAGCAAACACCATACCCACTGAGCCACCTCCCATCCCCTAGACTGGCTTCATTTTGTAAGTTATGATTTTAAAATCCCAACTGCTGTTTTTAAACTTGTGTCCAAGACTTGAGATTTAGCACATTTTTAATAAGTGACCCATAGACGCTGAATGAATGGTAAATCATCCAATGAAGAATCTCCAGAAAGACGACTTTCTGTCATGGTCAAATAATGACTACAAAGTGAGAGATCATCTTCAGCCTTACCCTGCCACAAATGACAAAGTGGCCTGGTTAAGTTTTATTGTCAGCTTGTACACCTTTAATTGTAGAATTGCCTCCATCAGATTGGCATGTGGCCATTTCT